GTGTGTGTGTGTGTGTGTGTGTGTGTGTGTGTGTGTGTGTGTGTGTGTGTCTTAAGTTCAATTAAATTCTTCAGAATAACAAATGAAAACACCACGTCACATGTTGTGAGGAAATTATTTTCAGTAATTTAATATTTCTGGGGGTTTTAGTGTAATTGTGATTAAAAAGCTTCCTTCTGTGGCTGTAATAGTAAATAACACCGCCGTGTGTTTGTTGTTTCTGCTCCAGGAGCTGGGATGGTGGTGGACTGGGAGCAGGACACGGGTCTCCTCATGACGTCTGGAGACGTCCGGATCGTCCGGATCTGGGACACTGACAGGGAAATGAAGGTCCAGGTACTGAATCTTAGTTTTTTAAAGCATTTTACAGTGAAAACATTGTTTTTAATCAGGAAAAATCCTGAGTAAAATTTGCACCTGTCCATCAGTTTCTGCTCAGACCTTCTGGTTCTGGTTCTGGTTGGCTGCTCCCTGTCTGTTTAAATGAACGGATTAAATATGATTCAGTCCCATTAATGTGGTTTCTTCTTGTTTTACATATTTAATTGACCTTTTTGAACTAATTATTGCTGTGATGGATGGATTTAATTCGGATACAAACGGCCCGCAGCTGCGTATCGAGTCCTCTTCCACCGAGTCTCACATGATTGATGAAGTTTTAACGAAAGGACTCGGTCTGTGTGTTTGGTACCAGGACATCCCGACCGGAGCGGACAGCTGCGTGACCAGCCTGTCCTGCGACTCGCAGCGCTCGCTCATCGTCGCCGGTCTGGGTGACGGATCCGTGCGGGTATTCGACCGCAGGATGGGCCCCAACGACTGGTAAAAACTTTCAATGTTTTCCCAACAAACTCAGTGTTTTCTGAGTCCTTCCTCCTTCGCCTCTTTAATCTGATTATTTAAAGTGCAGAATGTCTCCCTGTGGGCGTTGTCTTTGCCTTAATGGATCGCTGTGCCTTCAGCTGCTACAACTTTATTTTAATTTCAGTCCCTTTGGGGTTAAAAAGAAGTATCTGAACCACCTCATAAGTCTTAAATAAATTTCATTTAGAGGTTTTCCTTCGACGTGCATGAACCTGGGTTTGTATAGATAAATATTTTATTTGGGCTTCTGCAAGAAAAAAATCTCCTGATTATCTTTTGTTAAACAGCTCAGGTGCTTTTTATATAACTGTGTTTAATGGTGACACACTGCCCCCCGGTGGTGACTCGCCTGTACAGCATTAAAACATTTAGTTTTTTAAAAAGCAGGTGTTCTTTACCTTTTTGACCTCGGGGCCCAAGTTATTGAACATAAAGTGTCACGAGGCCCAGTCAGACATTACCAATGTATGGATCAAAATGATAATTATTATAAATGGTGGTTTAATTTTTATTGTATTTGCATTATAACTAAATAAAATACACTTAAATTTTAAAAGTAAAGCTCCTGTCAAATCACAAAGCATGGTTATGACAAACATTTTTATATTGTAACCTGCCCATAACAACTATTTGAACAAATATAACAGTCAGTCAACAGACCACTCAGGCTTATCAACACAAAAATATATAAATATTCAGTCCAATTGTGTTGTTTTCCAGCAGCAGACTTGTGTTGATGTGTTGACCTGTTGTGTTTCTGCAGTCGGGTGATGACCTACAGGGAACACGGAGCCTGGGTGGTTAAAGCTCACCTGCAGAAAGAAACAGATGGAAACATCATCAGCGTCAGGT